TATTAACCTTTTAGGCACGACGCGCCACTATAGTGGCTTTCGCGGATGTCATCTCTCTGAACGACGCATCACTATAGTGGCTTACTCTAGTAGCTCACTCGATCATCGTTTGAACCAAATAATCGTCTTCATATGCATTGTTTCACACTTCTTTTGTCTCCACATCGATTTACAACAGTCTACAGGGTGTCCCAAAAATGTCTCGCAGTCCGGAAATGGCGTATTCCTCGGATCATTTGAAGCAACTTCTTCCTTTACAAAAATGTTCTCCGAGGCACCGTTAACGAGTTATGAACGAAAAACAGTGACCAATAAGAATCGAGTACGGCTGACGCGAGGCGGCCCAGCCAACCAGCGCGCGAAGCCCAATTCCGCTCATTGGCTCGATCGCCTCGCGCCAGCCGAGCTCGCCTCTCATTGGTCACTGTTGTTCGTTAATAACTCGTTAACGGTGCCTCGGAGAAAATTTTTGTAAAAGAAAAAGTTGCTTCAAATGGCCCGAGGAACCCGCCACTTTCGGATTGCGAGACATTTTTGGGACACCCTGTATATACAGACAGAATATACAGTATCAGACACTGTACAGTACATATCAGACTGCCGTCCAGAGAAATAGCCTCGCGTAGAATTCAGCCGTACCTGAAAGGTTAAATGCCAAAATTAAATGCGAATTCTATTATAATCACCGCGCTAATACCTTTATATCCTATTGTACGCAGAAGGCTTAAAGGTCGATCTTTTCCGCACCAGGTATTCTCGAAAGCAGACGTCTGGTTCAGCCCGGACGGCGAGAGCTACGAAGAGGAGCCACTGTCTTACTCCTACATACCGGATATCGTGCTGGAGAACGCGCGGAACGTGTCGATAGGTCTGCACGAGCGCCGCGGGAAGCTCCTGAAGATACACCTGTATTTCGCCGCCCGATGGATCATAATCAGCGAAGTGACGTTCGACGGAAGTAAGCTTCCCTCCGTCTCTCAAGCCCAGTCCAGTGTCCCTTCATCGATCACTCTTCCCTGGCGAACGGTGCCGATGCAATAGTCTGATTAATCTTCAAGTTCGTACCCCTCGTTTAGTCGTCGTCGTCGTCGTCGTCATCGTCGTCGTCGTCGTCATCGTCGTCGTCGTCGTCGGCATCGTCGCGCGCGACTGACAACTTTCGTAACGCGATAGGAAGTAATTAGAGGGCAACTAGCGGGATCGTTGGACCGGGCTTTTTCGAAAAATCACCGAGTTACCAAGTCCAAGCATCGCGAACCGCCGCGGTGATCTTGTTAAATCGGTAATGAACGGAACTGTAACGACAGCCGGATTATCTCTTCCCGCGTGCACCGCGCCGCGCCGGCTACGCGGCGACGGCTTTTAACGCTCGTCACGTCTTTGTCCCGGCCACTCGCCCACCTATCATTCCAATTTCATCGCGTGATCCTAATGACCATTCGAATTAACGGCGCGATCATCGAATCGCCGTTTCCAGACCCGGTGGGAAAGCGTGTCAAAGCGTGAAAGACGTTTTGAGATGGGAAATGAAAATCGGGCTGGGCCTCGTTCATTTTTCTCCGATCTCCTCGAATGGTAAACCTACTAAACTAAATAGTAAACCTACAATACTAAACCTGCCGATCACTAAAGATGCACCACGTTTGTTGCTTTATTAGAATTACGAGATTGAATTTACGGTAAATTCTTCCGAATTCGCGCTCGGGTTGCGCACAAAAATGGACAATTTGGGAAGAGGGGATACGATTATTCGAGCCTTGCGGCTCGTTTTTATAGTTATCGATTGTCAGCAACTGTAATTGTTCTAACAAAGTGCTTACATAAAAGTCACGCAATTTTCATAGCGAAATCTCTAAATATAGTAATTTCTCCCTAATCGCGCTCAAATTGCGGACAAAAATGGACAATTTGGGAAGAGATGATACGATTGTTCGAGCCTTGCATCTCGTTTTTACAGTTGTTGACAATCGGTAACTATAAAAACGAGCCGCAAGGCTCGAATAATCGTATCTTCTCTTCCCAAGTTGTCCATGTTTGTGCGCAATCTGAGCGCGATTAGGGAGAAATTACTATATTTAGAGATTTCGCTATAAAAATTGCGTGACTTTTATATAAGCGCTTTGCTAGTACAATTAAAAGACCGAATTTATTTAGATACTTTGCTAGAGGAATTACAAGACCGAATTTATTTACACATTTTGCTAGAAGAATTACAGCAGTGAATTTTTTTCGATACTTATCTGTTATCACAAAAATGTGTGTTTGAATTGAAGAATTCATTCGATCGAATTTTCTACGAAAGACTCTTTACTATTTCAATCATTTTAAAACAAAAAATGTGGAACTGGTTATTTTGACCGAAACGGTAGGTTTAATGTTATTTAAGATTTTTTTAAAATCTTAAATAACATTCATTTTCTCACGAAAATAGCATCTGTTCGTCATTTTGTTGAACATTATTAATTTGCATTATTAAATGAAGGAATAAGTAAACCTGATTCCGTAAAATCATTAAAATGTAATGAATAAACACTACCACCAGCAGTCAATTAATCAATGGATGCGTAACAACTTATTCATTAAAAATTAAATGAAATAGGAGTTCCTTCCATTGAATAAATAAAATGAAAGTGATTGGTATACGTTGGAAGAAAATTATAAATAACGCGATACAATTTTGCTGGTAATTAGCAAATGGATTCAAACTTTTGACCAGCAGCGCACCGTAAAAGCAAGAAATGAGGAGCAAGTAATGGGAACGGGATCCAGCGTTTATATTTAAAATCTTTTGTGCACGAAAACAAATTCTTATCCAAAGAATAAACTTCATTAATTTCATTCACTTCATTCGAGCTAATAAATTCTACGAAAGGCAAATAGTGAACGTACCAATTAATATATGAAAATAGAAATCTTGCACTCGCGGTATTATTTCGTTATTACCCGTATCAAACCCTATACGAATTAAAATAATATTGGCAATCGACGTGAACAATGTTGAATGTGCGCGTTACAAATCGAATTAGATTGATCTTTAGTCATGAAATAAAGCAGTAAATATTGGGTTGGAAACTAAGTAATTGCCGATTTGTTCAATGAAATAAAAAATTTTTTTACTTGGAACGAAGTTTAATCTGTAATGTATTTTCCATTTTGTTCGATGACCTTTTGCCATCTCTCTGACAACTTGAAAATTCCACGCTCGTAGAAAGTCTGATCCTTTTCGGCCAAAAACTGAGTTCAGTGAGATTTTACAGCGTCATCGTCGTTAAAAGTTTTACCACGAAGGGAGTTGTCCAGGGATCGAAATAAATGGTAATTCGATGGCGCGAGATCAGGGCTATGTGGTGGATGTAACATCAATTCCCAAGCAATATCCATCAATTTTTGCCGAGTGGACAAAGACGTGTGCGGCCTAGCATTGTCCTGCTGGAAAATGACACCTTTACGATCGACCAATTCTGGTCGCTTTTCCTTGACCGCTGCATTCAATTTGTCCAGCTGCTAACATTCGCGGATAATAAAAAATAACATAATAATAATAATAATAATAATTTTATAATATAACATTTACGGATATGATAAAAATGGGAGTGAGAGACATCTATAACTGAAATCGGCAATTACTTAGTTGCCAAGCCAATAATAAATCATTCCGACTTTCGACAATGGATTCGGTATCTCGCGAAACATTCCCAATCCCTTAGATGTTCCGCGGATAAACCGAGACAAGAAGTGTTGTCCTTTAGATTACGATTAAGCCGGAGTGACAACTGTTTAGTTACCAAGATTCGCTTCCCTCGTTTCAGCCAATCCCTATGAAAATGTCACCGAAGAGTCGGCGTCCGAGTTCAGCAACCGAGAAATTCCAATGAACCCCGAGGTGGATCCCAACTTGCAAACAAGTAAGTGACTCGACGCCGGCGTCATTTAATTCGTATCAATCTCGAGTTAATTACACCCGGAGCATTCGAAACTTTCCTTATCTTTCTTATCTGTCCCGCTGCCATGGGACGAAGGAGCCCTGAGAACTTAAGTAATCATGGAACAACGATTTCACTGCGCGATGCTAAACTAATTTATTTACCGTGTTACGAAAGAATATTACGAATCATGATCTCGATCGAGTTATATTAGCACGATTATGTTGCTTTTCGCTGTGAAACACGAGCCGCGGCTACATCATTCTGTCCTGCTGGAGATTTTTTTATGCAGCGAGATCGCTCGACCGAGCATCGTTGAACCAAAAAATATTTTCTGTACTCTATTAAATCTTCGGATATAAAATGCCTGCAACTGTGCTCGTGTTATTCAACTGGTCTATTTGTTACAGGAGAACAATTTGCAGTCTATTTGTGTATATCGAACACAGTAAACAGTTCGCAATAATTTATAGTTAACTAAAGACAGTTATGAATTAACCCTTTGAATATTTCTGATCCTTTTCTATTTTTCGTCTCCTTTACTAACATAGAACTAATTCGTGCTACACTTAAAGATTTTTAGCAGTCTATTAAATAGAAGAATATTGATATTATAAAAATTGTTTGAAATTCCAGTATGGTAAATTTGATTAATGATATAGCGAATATAAATGGTAAATTATGTGCTTACAAATTTACCATTTCTATTCAAACTTTAACATGTACAAAATTGATTCTCTGCAAAATGAAATCTCGTCTGGTAAAACGGGAGTTAAAATTGAAATAAAAATTGTAATGATTCTTTTAAATATACTCTTACAGAGCGAATATAAAAATGGTAAATTATGTATTTATAAATTTACCATTTCTATTCAGACTTTAACATGTACAAAATTGATTCTCTGCAAAATGAAATCTCGTCTGGTAAAACGGGAGTTAAAATTGAAATAAAAATTGTAATGATTCTTTTAAATATACTCTTACAGAGCGAATATAAAAATGGTAAATTATGTATTTATAAATTTACCATTTCTATTCAGACTTTAACATGTGCAAAATTGATTCTCTGCAAAATGAAATCTCGTCTGGTAAAACGGGAGTTAAAATTGAAATAAAAATTGTAATGATTCTTTTAAATATACTCTTACAGAGCGAATATAAAAATGGTAAATTATGTATTTATAAATTTACCATTTCTATTCAGACTTTAACATGTACAAAATTGATTCTCTGCAAAATGAAATCTCGTCTGGTAAAACGGAAGTTAAAATTAAAATTATAATGATTCTTTTGAATATGCTCTTACAGATCTTCAATTTTCCATGAAATTTCTCGCTGCACTTTCCTCGAAAAAAAGGAAGCAGTTGAATGTTGAGTATTTTCGCAAGCAGAAACGAAAGTGTGCATTAAAAGGAGTACGATCCGTTTCGCTCGAGACCCGGTTTCGCAGCGATCTAATTTTCCTGTTTGCTGATACTGTGCGCGCCGGTCAGGAAATTAATTTCCCAATTTCTCGGTCCGATTATACGATAGAATGGTTCCGCGATTGACTTCGTCCTCCCCCGCTTTTGTGAGTACATAAGGTTTGTCCGAGGAAGTAACTTCATTAGCGGAACCAGGCCGCCATTCTTTGACGAGGAGAGGATACGATTAGGAGTCACGGCGAACACGCCGGTGGAACGGGGGGAGGAAACTTCCGATGGTTTATAATTCACGTAGTAACTTCGTCGTAACGTAAACAATTAGTCGGATTAAGAGGATACTCGTTCGAGGAAGCGAGGAAAAGGGGACAGGAAAGAACTCGAGCCTCGAACCCGCCGCATTGCCTCCGCGAATCGATTACATCGACTCGGCAGAGTGCATTGCAAACTGGAACACGATTCTATGATTTTTAAAGCCGAGAATTTACATTCATAGTCGTATAGGACAAATCTGATTTACGACACGATGGTAATTAGATCGCCGATCTTTACGCAAAATAAGAACTATCTTTATCTGCTGTAAAAATAGAAGTAACTTAGAGATTTCTTTCTTTCGTCGATCATTTCGGTGTGTAATGTTAATCGTTGATCATTTTCTTCTGTTTGAAATTACAAATAGTAATTTTTATGAATAATGCATAAAATTCATAGTTTATATATTTTTTTATTTATAATATTTTATATTTTTTTAATATACATTTATTTTTATATTTAATATTTTTTAATATTTTATTATATATTTGTTTTAATTATCTTTCAGAATGAAACAAGATTAACAAATACGAAGCTTTTCTTTTTAGTGACTTAAATTATTATGAAATTTCTCAAAATTGGGGTTTACTTTCATAAAATAATAAAAAAAATAGTAAAGTAATACAATTTAAAAGATTGATCGTAGTTTTGTTACATTGGCAATGTAAAGTATGACTTTTCAGGATAGAATACTATAAATACTATCAATATACTATCAATAATACTATCACTAATTACTTTTTGCTTGCACAGCATATATAAAATTAGTTTCGACGAAAATCAATTTATACAGATGGAAGTAGTAACTTCGCTTTTTAAAATATCCCTAGATACATAATTATCAATCAATCTCAATCATTTCCTGTTTTAGTTTTTGCTACAATAATGTCCCAATTTTATGTACTTGCTTAAAATGTATAAATATAAATGAATCGACCAAATTAAAATGTAAAAAAAAGATGCATGAAAACAGTCAGAGCATATTTGAGGGCTAAATACGTTCATTAATAATCATTGAGTGCGAGTGAACGATCGTGAGACTGCCCAAATGAATTATAAAATGTTGAATCAAGTTCAACAGAATTTTGATTTCTTTCAAAACTCAATTTTTCATCTCTTTCGATTCCAATGTCTATAGAATTCAGTGTGAACACAGTCCAATGATCAAACAGAGGATCACGATGTAGTATAAAAATGTTCTGAATCAAAAAACGACCGTAAAAAATTGATTCCCACCTAACTACAATAATTTCTCCCAGAAATGTTCGGTGGTCAGAATTGAAACCGGCAGATCTGAGAATATTAAGTCGCGATTCTTCGAGTTTTGCGGCTCGTTTTTATAGAAACTCAAGATAGTCGGCAAAATTCTAATTTTTTGCAACGATTCGAAGGCAATTCGGAAGCCACATGAGACGATTCGAAGGCAATTCAAAGACCACATGACACGATTCGAAGACAAATCACAAGCCACATGCCGCGATTCGAAGGCAATTCAGAGACCACATGACACGATTCGAAGACAAATCGCAAGCCACATGATACGATTCGAAGGCAAATCGTAAGCCACATGACACGATTCGAAGGAAAATCGCAAGCCACATGCCGCGATTCGATGGCAATTTAGAGGCCACATGCCACGATTCGAAGATAAATCGCAAGCCACATGACACGATTCGAAGGCAATTCAGAGACCACATGACACGATTTGAAGACAAATCACAAGCCACATGACACGATTCGAAGGCAAATCGCAAGCCACGTGCCGCGATTCAAAGGCAATTCGGAAGCCATATGACACGATTCGAAGGCAATTCAGAGACCACATGACACGATTTGAAGACAAATCACAAGCCACATGACACGATTCGAAGGCAATTCAGAGACCACATGACACGATTCGAAGATAAATCGCAAGCCACATGACACAATTCGAAGGCAAATCGCAAGCTACATGCCGCGATTCGAAGGCAAATCGCAAGCCACAAGCCGCGATTCGAAGGCAATTTGGAGGCCACATGCCACGATTCGACGGTCACATACCTTGCAGCTCCATGATTTTTCTTACCTGACTTGCATCCAAACAGACCATTTTGTATTGTCTTCCGGGAATTCGCGTCGCGTACCGCATCACACGCTTGATCGAAATTCACAGCAACCCGAAATTTGGTATTTCCGGGAGAAATTACCGCACTTCTAACAAACTGAGAACAATATTTTACAAATCTCTAAACTTCTAACATTTCTAGCTGCATTCCATTCTCGTCCCAAATACACAAATTTTGAAACAATGAAGAGTAACTAATCGTGGGTCACGGACATCGTATCAAGCCAGCCCGGACAGAAGTCCACAAAAACCCGCATTTGGACTATTTATACCTAAAAAAGGCGAGCGTCAAAGGGACGAACGATGCATGATTCCAAGATCACGGGCAGCCGTTTGTAGCGTATCTCTAACAACAGAAATGGAAAAGACTGTTAATAGAACCGAACGACTGTGTCAAAGGAGTTGAAACGTCGGTGGCAAAGGAGCAAAGGACACGAGTCGTAAAAGACACGGTCGCAAGTGTGCGTTCCTAATGGACCAAACAACAATAGGGTCTCATCTTCCATTCCCTCTGTCCGGGCACACTCGCGGCTAAATGCTTCCTCCGGACCGTCACGAATAAACGAGCAGTTTCTCGCCGCTCCGCACGGCTCCGCGCGGCCCCGCTCCGTTCAGCTTCGCGCCGGCACGCGGCCGCGATTATCCAGTCCAGAAAATAAAGAAGCACATCGTTAGACACGCTCGTAACGAGTGAGCTATACCGAAAGCACGGTTTCGAACGTTCCTCGGCGCAAACAGCCGGAAGGGTACCGCGCGTTAGATGGCGAAAAAAACGAAAAAAACGCGCGCGAACGCGTGCGAATCTCGCGCGGCATTGAGGAGCGCACGCCTCTAAATGGAGGTGTACGCAGCGCCTTGATTACTCGAAAGCACCGGCCGAAACCTGCGAAATATTCCCTCCCGCGTGGAATATTCGCCGGAATTATGCAGGAACAAAAATTCGACCGAAAGTAAGGGAACGCGAGACCACTAACGAATTGGACGAGGATAATTGCCCGGCTTACTTGTTATTAGAATTTTCACGATACCGTAACACGGGTTGCGGAGAAAAAAAATCACCTGGATATGACTCAGATTTTATGTCAAGGTTTTAAGTGCTGTATTGTTTAATATGTACTACGGAATTATAGTTTCTCGATAACAAA